GGGCTGAGGATGAGCTGAATTTCAGCCCAAATTGAGTCCCAAATTCACTGCTGCTGGGCTGAGGATGAGCTGAATTTCAGCCCAAATTGCATCCCAAATTCACTGCTGTCGGGCTGAGGATGAGCTGAATTCCACCCAAAATTGAGTCCCAAATTCACTGCTGCCGGGCTGAGGATGAGCTGAATTCCAGCCCAAATTGAGTCCCAAATTCACTGCTTCCAGGCTGAGGATGAGCTGAATTCCACCCCAAGTTGTGTCCCAAATTCACTGCTGCCAGGCTGAGAATGAGCTGAATTCCACCCCAAATTGAGTCCCAAATTCACTGCTGTTGGGCTGAGGATGAGCTGAATTCCACCCCAAATTGAGTCCCAAATTCACTGCTTCCAGGCTGAGGATGAGCTGAATTTCAGCCCAAATTGAGTCCCAAATTCACTGCTGCCGGGCTGAGGATGAGCTGAATTCCACCCCAAATTGAGTCCCAAATTCACTGCTGCCAGGCTGAGGATGAGCTGAATTTCAGCCCAAATTGAGTCCCAAATTCACTGCTGCCGGTCTGAGGATGAGCTGAATTCCACCCCAAATTGACTCCAAATTCGCTGCTGCTGGGCTGAGGGCTGATGCAGCTCTCTGGCTCTGCAGGAGCAGTGTCTCCCTCCTTGTGGCAGGATCTGTTTCGTGCTGCTGACGCCCCTAAACCCCCAAATGTTGGTAAATGAGGTTTTTGTGACTGCAGGAACGACTCTGCGATGGAGAAGGTGCTGGGCTCCAGCAGCAGCTCCTCTCTGCCGTGARATGACAGGGCAGGGAGGGGATGAACGGGGGCACAAAGCGCCGTTTTGGGGGGAGAAACCCCCTTTAAAGGCAGGGAAGGCGCAGGGAGGAGAAGCTGCTGCTGTAACTCATCCCTCCCACGTCCCTGACAACCCCACAAACGCTTTCTGTTTCCTCAATAGGTGACAATTCCCCGTCCAAAGGCTTCTCAGAAAGGGCTGGGAACCACCCCGGGGATGAGCCCGGCCCTGTCCCCGGCGGGTGACACCGGGATGGGCTTGGCAGCGGTGCCTTTGTGACACCCGCGCGTTTCCGAGGGGGCTGAGTCACCCCAGGAGTCACCGGGGCCATCCCAAATCGTGCCCATCCTCCCGGCAGGGCACGGGCGGGCCGGGCTGTTCCAGATCSCATTTCCCCAGAAAAACCCCGGTGCTGGTGCAGAAAAGGCGTCGGTGGAGCTGGAAAGGCTTTGATGGTCAGAAATGCAGCCGGGATGAGGCTGAGGCCAACCCCTGCACCATCGCAGGGGTCTGGGGTAAAACCCAGCCGGTTTGGGGCTGGAACTATGATAGATTCTGATATTTTCAGCAGCCGGATTTGCCCAACACCCTCTTTCCGGAGGGTGTGCAAGGGTGGCAGCCCCAGGGCAGCGATCCCAGCCCCGGATTCACCTCCAGCCGTAAGCGRCGGCCTCGGGACGGAGCTGCCTCGTGTTCCCGCACATCCCGGGGTGGATCCAGCTCCTTCCCCCTTGTCGGGCGCCATATGTCGCAGACATAAAAGAATAGATATAAAACACACAAAAAGTGGGTGAAAAAAACAGAAAGAAAGAAGGACTTTATTGTGGGACAAGCTTCTTTTATCCACTTTAGCAACCAGTGCATACATTTGTGTCAAACATATATTGGTCAGTGAGGCTGTCACTTTTTTACTCAACAGCAYAGRATTGGTAGGTTTGCAAAAGCTACAGTATTAGTAATGTTTATAATTGTAAGCTACCTGCATTATCAGTTCTACATTCTAATSTTCTTTTTCTCAAGACAGCTAAAAACGTRGCGTTTTATTCTTATGCAAGCTATTAACACTCCTTACACTTCCCCATCTCCTTCTCCATCTCCGAGGGCGGGGAGGAGCAGCCGGGGGCGGTGGCTGCAGCCCCGGGGATCGGGGGGGGATGTGGGAGTGATGTGGATCACCACAATGGGAGAAAATCAGAGCCCAGCAGGACCCCCGGCATCACTGAGGGCATTTTGGGGGGCTCTGAGAGGTCTGTGGGTGTTCAACCAAAGGATTTGTGTTTATTTTAGAGGGGGATTTGTTCAGAGACGCAAACCAATCCCGTGGTGAGGGAGCAGCACATGAGGGGAGTCCTGGGGGTGAGTTTGGGTTGTTTTGCCTGGAAAATGGTCATTGTACCCAAGAAATGAGAACTTCCCGTGAGTGCCAGCCTAGCAGCCTCAAGGGACACGACGGACCCCAGGAAAATTTAATAAATTTTAAATCATTATTAAAAACCTGAGCTGATGTAGGGAGCAGCCCTGGGAGCAGTCAGTGGGGTTTGGAAACACTGGGTGCTGCCAGAGCGATGGGAAACGGGTGTAAAATCGAATCCCAGGGCCCAGATTCCTCAATAAGGAAATGGGTGTAAAATCAAATCCCAGGGTCCGGATTCCTCAATCAGGAAATGGTGTAAAATCAAATCCCAGGGCCCGGATTCCTCAATCCCCGCTCCAGCCCAAGTCTGGGTGAAGCAGCTGGGAGCAAAGCCACCCCCAGCGCGTTTTTATTCTCGTAATAGCTGAAATGCCAGAGATCCCCCCGCACTCCGAAATAGCCCAGATTTCCAGTCCTTTTCCGCCCTGTCCAAATAGGAAAGGGCYGATCAGCACTTCATTATTTATATCYGCGATCGGCTGGCAGMGGGGAGCTTTCTCTCCKCGGCAGGAATCGCAGGAATTCCAGGCAGGAATGTCTCTGGCAAGGCATGGAAGAATTCCCATCTCTCCCAGCCCAAGATTAATTAATTACTGCTGTTAATTTGGGGGGATTCACTCGCAGGGGACGGGGTGGATCCCGGAGGTGCCCGTGGCCATTTCAGGGCGGGACTGGAGCTCATTAGGAAAAGGACTCATTTGATTTAATGACCTTTGGATGAGGCGTTGGTGGCTCCTGCGGTGCTGCGGGATCACGAGGAGCTACAAAAGCCTTCATTGTCCGGTTTATCACCCATCCCCTCGGGGTTTATCATCCATCCCCTCGGGGGTTCTCCCGCTTCCCGAGGGAAACGATGGAATTCTGCAGGATTTCCCGGCCTGTTGACCACGGCGTGCTGGGATCACCCAGGGAGGGTGCCAGGTGTCTGAAGACAGGGAAATCCATAAAATCACAGCCTGTTTTGGGTGGGAGGGACCTTCAGGCTCATCCCATTCCACCCCTGCCATGGGCAGGGACACCTCCCACTATCCCAGGTTGTTCCAAGCCTTGGAATGACCCAAATCTGGGACAAACCCACTCCTGGCTGGCTGCTGTGCACATGAACGCCCTCAGCATGGGCAGTTTTATTCTTTTCTGAGTTTTTTTGGTTTCTGTGGCGCTGCAGGGTGTCACAAGCCACACAAACATTTCCCGGGGAGCTGTGAGGGCGTTTTTGATTTCAATCTGGCTCTGTTTGCTGCCACCCACCAGCAGCAGCCACAGCCCTGCCCCGCAGCCCAGCCAGCACGGGGCTTTCTCCAACCTCAGCCCCAAACACAACCCCAGCTCAGCTGGTGGTTTGCTGCTGGGGAGACACAATCTCTCAGGTGTTTCTTTGAGTCACTCTTTTAATGAACAGCCTCCACCCAGCGCGTTTATTTTATTTWWTTWTTTTTTTTTTCCAAGAGGTGCTGGAAAAACACAGGTTTGTAACACATTAACAGAGCCCTTTGAAGGGCRCTGGTTTCGGTGCCGAGCGTGGCTGGAGGTGCTGCTGGAGTTTCAGCGAGCAGAGTTAAATATAAATATCGCCTGGCAAGCCCCATGGTTTTATTTCAAACATTGTATTGGAGTAAACAGCGTTGCTGTAACTCCACAGCAGCCTCCCTGAGAGTTTCCAGAGTGTTTCCCTTGCATCGTTCGGAGCCCAGCAGAACAGTGCAGCGATCACATCATTCAATTAAACAATATCCTTTGATTGCCCAGTGCCCCAGAGGTCTGGGAGCAGCAGTTGGGAAACGCTTATTTAATAACTTAATTATTCTAATATCAGCATTATTTAGCACTTAGGCGGGGCTCTGCTTTGGGATAACAAAATCCAGGGTTTGTAATTGAGTCTGATSTGACCTAATCGTGCAGTCACGGAGTGYTGAGGGATTGSAATGGACCTTAAAAGTCATCYGGTACCAGTCCTGCCATGGACAGGGACAATTCCCRCTGTCCTAAGTTGATAAAGGCCTTATCTGACCYGGCTTTGAGCACTRTCRGGGTTGGTGCACCCACARCTTCTCTGGCCAACCCMTGCCAGGACCTGCCCACCCTCACAGGGCACAATTCCTGCCCAATCTTCAAACTAAATTTCCCCTCCTTAAATCTGTACCCATTTCTCCTTGTCCTGTCACTCCAGCTCCTGATGCAAAATCCTCCTCTGGCTTCCTTATAGCCCGTTCAGTCCCTGTAAGGTGCTGTGRTGTCCCCACACCCCTTTCTCTTCTCCAGGCTGARCATTCCCAACTCTCCCAGCCTGTCTCCATAGGGGATTAGCAGGGGATTAATAATTCTCTGGTATCCCGGAGAGCCAGCAGCAGGGATGCAAGGCCAGGGCCTGTTTCCCGTGTACCGTACATTTGTCCATTAATTTGGGGACACCCCGCGGACCCTGGAGCGCAGTCGAACCCCAAAAAATCACCGCTCCCCCCCAAAAAAAAGCCCCGCGCTGGAGACACGTGGAGGGACCGGCCGCTGCTGCAGCACCGCGAGGGGCGGGGTCATGCAAATGAACKGCATTGTTATGGAAATGAGGGGCGTGGCCACGCGGATACAAGGCTGCTTATTGGATTAGGAGGCGTGGCTATGGAAACGAGAAAGCATATATGGAAATAAGGGGCGTGGTTATGKAAATGAGAKGCTGGATATGGAAATAAGGGGCGTGGCTTGKCGTGTGGGCGGGGCCGCGGCGCCGGCGCTGGCGGGGGGGGCGGAGCCAGTCCCGCCCCGCGCTCCCGCCCAGAGCCCTCAGAGCGCGGCGCGGCGGCGGCTGCAGATCCTCCGCCAGCACCGGCACCGCCGCATCGCCCCGCACCGCCCCGCACCGCTCCGCACCGCTCCGCTCCGCACCGCCGGCCCCTCCATCACCGCCCCTTCGCCGCCATGAACTCACTGCTGTTCGGGGAGATGGCCCGCGCCTTCTCCCCCACCGCCGCCTCCTCCTCCTCCTGCCCGCTGGGCCCCGGCGGCGGCGGCTCCGCGGCGGCCGGGGGGGGCCCGCCGGTGACGGCGGCGCTGCGGAACGACCTGGGCTCCAACATCCACCTGCTCAAGGGGCTGAACGTGCGCTTCCGCTGCTTCCTGGCCAAGGTGCACGAGCTGGAGCGGCGGAACCGGCTGCTGGAGAAGCAGCTGGCGGCCCAGCAGAGCGAGCGCGACCGCCGGCTGCGCTACAAGACCTTCTCCCGGGACCAGGCGGTGCAGACGGACGGCGGGACCCCGCCGCTGGTGCCGCCGCCGGGGCCCGGGCACGGGGCGCTGCCGTCGCCGCCGCACTACGGGCGCCTGCCCGGCACCATCTGGAGCTACACCCAGGTGCGGCGCACCGGCGGCGGCGGCCTGGAGACCGTGCAGGGCCCCGGCGTGTCCTGGGTGCACCCGGACGGCGTCGGGGTGCAGATCGACACCATCACCCCCGAGATCCGCGCCCTCTACAACGTGCTGGCCAAAGTCAAGCGGGAGCGCGACGAGTACAAGAGGAAGTGAGTGATGGGGGATGCGGGCGCTCCGCGCTGCACTGCGGGGAAACGGGGCCAGCCCTCCCCGGGAGCGCTCGGGGACAGCGCTGGGGACGCGGGGACCGGGGGATGCGCGCCGGGGTTCGTGGGGGCTTTTCCTCGGGAAAGGGAGGGGGTTGAACCTCATCTCGGTACCCAGAAAACTGTGGGATCCATCCCTGGGGGGATGCAGAGCCTGGATCTTGCAAGGAGCATTGTCAGCTTAACTTAAAAAAATAACGTATATATATATTTTTTTTAAGAAGGGAAACAATCCGTTATTAATATTGCATTGCATAGTTACTCCTAAATTTAGCTCGCCTTCATTYTTTTGGTCTGATTACTCCAGTAGTCGGTTCTGTGTGCCAGCTCCCCGAAATTAGCTCAGTGCTGCAATATTTGGGTTGCAAATACTGCAGGGYAGGGTTTGCACTCCGAGATGTTCCTCGGAATTGGCCAAAACAAAAGTCTTTGTAAGCCCTGCTGGTCTGGAGGTCTCCCCTGGCCTGTGGCAAGCACTGGGGTTGGAATGGTGATGGATAACGTTCCCTTGGATCGTTGGGCTTTAGCTGTGGCAGACAGAGATGGAGGCCAGAAGGGGAAAAAAAATGTAGCTGGGCTTCTGCAGGGAGATTCCTGCATTGTCTGAGGAGCTGCTGTCCTTTGGGGCTGGCCTGGGCTCTCCCGGCTGGAGTTCAGGCATATTTAGCCTTGAAATGCATTTCCTGCTSGTCCAGCCGGGTTTTTTTCCCTGCAGAACCCGCGGAATCCGTTGTCCTTTTCCGCATTTCCCGGCCCTGTGGCCTGTGGAGCTTGGCTGGATCTCYTGTGCCCAGGGTAGCAGACTGCAGTGAGCTCTTTGCACACCTCAGCTCAGCAGCAGCAGCTTTTGTAACAACCTCCCCTGGTGAAATCACCGCCTCAGAGACATTTTCTGGGCAGGTTTGGCCGTTCCAGTAGGAATCTATGGCCTGTTCTTTGACCGAGGCTCTGTCTGCTTCCAGTGCATCTCCCTGGAGCTCGTGTGCCTCGGTTGCTCTGTTCCTTCTGGCTGGAGCTGCTGCTGGGGGTGGAAAAAAGGAGTTGGTTTCTGTTTTCCAGCYCGGAGTAGTGGCTGCTGCTGTGGCGGTGGGTTTTGGGGGTGGTTTTTGTTTCTGTGGCCGGTCCCAGGGAATGGGAGGAGCAGGGAGCAGAGGAAGTGGTGCTGTGTGGTGCCGTGTTGAAGGGGGGGTCCCTGTGGGATGTGCGGTTGTGTCACCAAAACTTTGAGCTGCTTCTCCTTTTCCATGGGTACGTGATTTATTTCTGTTTCCGGGGGAAAAGGAGACTTGTGTGCCTTCTGATTCAGTCTTCCTGCTGATACAAAGTTGATTTTTCTGCTTTTACTCCCTTGTGTAAAGCACATTTTCCCCCCCCAGTCTGTGCTCTTACACACTCACTCGGGGATTGCATAAACCCAATAAATTCGGTAGAGCAAAGGGGAACCTCAAATCTTTTTCTTGCCCTTCAAAGAGGTTTTCCTTCTGAGAAAAGTGATTAACACGTATCAACACGTCCCACATCAGTGTTGTTGGATCTGCAGTGTGGATTTTAGGGATGCTCATTACTATGGAGCTGGAATTGGTCACTGCTTGTGACCTTCAGTCTCACATGGACAGCACACGCTGTTTTTTGGGGGATTGGCTTTTTGCTCGGGGGCTTTGAGCTCCCTTGAGCCGGCTTAGGGAGCAATATTGGGCTGTTTCAGTTTCCTGCTGGCAGTCAGTGAGCCCATTGGTCCTGTGAGCTCTGAGGGTTGCAGGGTTTGTCAGCCATCCTGCAGGGATTGGGGTGGTGTTGGTCTGTGTAGGGCCAGGGTTACTTGTCTTGGCACGTTCCCCTATCATTGCCTGCTGTAAATGGGGTTGGGGCTCCCTTATCTTGCTGGGATCCCTTTGATGCTCCAGATTTACTCAGGGAGGTGAGCTCCAGGTGGAACAGGAGCTCTGTGCCTGGCTCCTGATGGGGCTGTTGGGGCTTGTGGAGAGTTGGGCACGAGCACGAGCTCCCAGCCCAGGTGTGTGACCATGAAAAGAACATTTTCTTGATGAATCTGAGAGCCAGCAGAACCCCCAGGCTTTGTGGAGCAGCCAGGCCTGGTAATCTCCCCAAGGAGCCTCCAGCCCATGGTCAAGAATCCTTGAGCAGACAGCGATAATTCCATTTATTTCCTGGAGCAGGGGAGGCTTTTCCTGCTGTCCATATTGACCACTTGGTTAAGGAGATTGTGGCTACCAAATGTTTCTGTTTTAAAGTGTTTGGCTCCCAGGAAAAGCCGGGCAGGTGATGCCATGGGACACCAGGGAAGTGCTGGGTTTCCAGCACTCACTCACCTCTGATGTCTCTGTTGTTGCTGTTGTTGTTATTTTTGAAGGCAAACTCCCTGATGTCACACCTGAGAACTGGCAAATGGCAGGGCTGGAATTTGGAGGGGAAATAATCCCTTTTGTTTCCTTCCTTTTAGAGGAAAAGCAGCCTTGCTGCTATAAAATAACACTGGGACATCATCCAACAAGATGCTCTTCCCCGTGAAATTCTCCCTGTGCAATTTTTGGGATTGGCAATTTGGGGAAAATACATTTAATTTCTTTGTTCCATTCCCCAAAATATTCTTCCTTGGACGTTGTAAGGCAGCAAACTGGAGTTCTGAGAGGGCACAGTCACTCGAGCACATGGATCATATTTTACCCAGGCTTTTGTTTGTGTCTGAAGTGAAACGCTCCYGCTGAGGAGCCCAGCAAAAATTTTAGACCAAAAGTGCTTTTTCTTTTTCCCCCAAGTGTTGATATTTTACCAAAATAATGTATAAATTTGCATATTTTCTACTTACTGTGTTGTCTTCATCTCGTGTTTCTTTAGTCATGATCATGATTTTACCTGAAATTATGACTTCAGTGAGGGAGTGAACCACTGGAGGAGTTTTATTTTATTAATTTAACTAAATTAATTTTTTTACTTTTTTCCAGCTATGCTTGCACTTAGAAGAGCTTTAGGTCATAGATCTGGCTCCAAATCATATCAGTCATTGTTTACTATCAGATATTTTGTAATTTTTGTCTATTATGACCCATTTAGCAAGAAAAGGCAAAATTGTCTTTCTGCAAAATTGCACTTTTGCAGTCAATAAAAAATACTTTCAGGGACAGTTAATGGAAAACAGAGCAAAGTCACATTTTTAAATTTGAAACAAGCCAGTGAAGTGATTTTTTTCTTTTCTAGAAAGAATAAAAATAGTGATCAGCTACCCTGCTTCAGCTGCTTTGAGGTGAGACTGAGCAGCTGTGGGTTCCAGGAGCAGAGCTGGAATTTGGAATCCCTGTGGATAACCAGGAGGGATTCACAGGTTTGGCTCCAGGAGCAGAGCTGGAATTTGGAATCCCTGTGGATAACCAGGAGGGATTCACAGGTTTGGCTCCTCCCTGGCAGGGATTTGGGATTTATCCTTTCAGGTTATTCAGGAGAAAAATCTGCTTTTGGAGGAGCAGTTGTGGGGTGACCCTGGCCCTGTTTGGAGGTCTTTGGGAAACTCGGGAACCTCAAGAGCCCATCTGGGAGAACAACCTGGAGTCTCCTTCCCCAATTAGTTAAACCCTGTAAATCACCAAGCCGGGCTGGAACACTGCCATTCCCCCGTGGCAGAGTGGGATGTTTTGGGGGTGATGCCAGCCCCTTCTGGAGGGGTTCTGCTGTCCCTCCACCCCTGAAAGGAGGTGTCACCTTCGTGGAGATCCCTGGAAGCCCCGGCGCATCCCTGGGCGCGGTGACAGCGGCGGTGCTGCTGCGTGTGGCCAGTCCAGGCTGCTGACTTGCTGAAATGCTCCTGCAGTCCTTCCCTTCCCTGCCCTACCCCCCTGCCTCTCCCCGAGCCCTTGGATAGATTTGTATATTTRTGGTTCCACGATTACTCTTAATTGCTGCAGATATTGAGTCTGCCAGATGTTGGTTGTCTTTTCCAGCACGGGCTTAACTGGTACTAAGGGGTTGAACTGGAAATAATTGTTTTACCTCAGGATGGTATTTCTTTGGCAAGATTAATAAAGTCCACTTGGAAAAGAGATTATCTTAAATTTGCTGCAGCTGGGAAGGACAAAGATTATCATTGTCAAAGGCAGCGCGCGTCAAAACTCGCCGGAGCTTGTTTTTTTTAGAGAAGGGAACTTAATAAAAATGTGCTTAAGATAAGCCCTGGAGGAATGTCTGAGAACTTTTAAGGCTAAAATATCAGCAGTAACAAGATGCAAATGTTCTGCATAGACCCAATCAAAAACAAATAATTTTTTCATCCCCCTGGAGGAATGTAAGCAGCGTGGCAGACCTGTCCCTGCCTCGATTGGTCACAGGGCTGGCAAGAACAATCTCTGTGGAAAGCCACCTATTTAATTCTGCTATTCCTGCTTTTCTTTTTCTGTTTTTGAGGGATAATTATTTTTCAATGTGGCTTTTCGCTGAAATTCCGGATTTTCCACCGCTTCCAGAGCAGCCTGGTCTGGGGGATTTTTAGCTGCCATTTACAAGATGTGAAGTTTGATATTAAATGCTGGCTCTGGTGAAACCTGAGACTCAGGCTTGAAAAGCCCCTTTTTCCCTGGGCTGGGAAATGTCAGTTTTCGTTGTGGAGAAGGGGATAAAATTGCCTGATGTGAAAAAAACTTGGCTGTGTGACACAAATATCCAGTTGTAATTGCTGGGTGGAAAGTGGAGCTGTGCAAGTAAAGCACCATAAGAATAATGTTTCCKTAAATAATTCCATCTTTCCTTCAAAAATGCTGCTGCAAAGACACACATTCAGGATACACACAGCTATCTAGAGCACTCTCACAAATCTTGGGTTTATTTGGTTTTTTTCCTCCATGATTTAACTGGAAACTAGGACTTCTGGGTTGTAGGATGTAGGAGAAGGTTTGGAAGGAGGGGAGGATGCTTCCCTTTGATTCTTTCTAGCAGTT